TTTCAGAAGAAAGTTATTTGTTTCTGGCCATTTTGAGCCTGTAATCGAACCCACAATTGCTGATGCTCCAGATACTCAACTAGTCTCAAGAAGGCCAGTTTTATTGCTTCTTTAATCAGCACAACAGTTTTCAGCTGTGCTAACATAATTGCAAAAGGGTTTTCTAATGATCAATTAGCCTTTTAAAATGATAAACTTGGATTAGCAAACACAACATGCCATTGTAACACAGGACTGATGGTTGCTGATAATGGGCCTCTGTATGCCTATGTAGATATTCCATTAAAAATCAGCCGTTTCCAGCTACAATAACCATTTACAACATTAACGATGTCTACACTGTATTTCTGATCAATTTTATGTTATATTAATGGACAACAAAATTGCTTTTCTTTCAAAAACAAGGACATTTCTAAGTGACCCCAAACGCATATATACATACACACATATATACATACACATACATATATACACACACAGTGCCTTGCAAAAGTATTCATCCCCTTGGCGTTTTTCCTATTTTGTTGCATTACAACCTGTAATTTAAATGGATTTTTATTTGGAGTTCATGTAATGGACATACACAAAATAGTCCAAATTGGTGAAGTGAAATGAAAAAAATGAGATTTTGAGTGAAAACCTCCTTCCATCAGCAAGGGCATTGAAGATGAAACGTGGCTGGGTCTTTCAGCATGACAATGATCCCAAATACACCGCCCGGGCAACGAAGGAGTGGCTTCGTAAGAAGCATTTCAAGGTCCTGGAGTGGCCTTGCCAGTCTCCAGATCTCAACCCCATAGAAAATCTTTGGAGGGAGTTGAAAGTCCGTGTTGCCCAGCGACAGCCCCAAAACATCACTGCTCTAGAGGAGATCTGCATGGAGGAATGGGCCAAAATACCAGCAACAGTGTGTGAAAACCTTGTGAAGACTTACAGAAAACGTTTGACCTGTGTCATTGCCAACAAAGGGTATATAACAAAGTATTGAGAAACTTTTGTTATTGACCAAATACTTATTTTCCACCATAATTTGCAAATAAATTCATTAAAAATCCTACAATGTGATTTTCTGGATTTTCTTTTCTCATTTTGTCTGTCATAGTTGACGTGTACCTATGATGAAAATTACAGGCCTCTCTCATCTTTTTAAGTGGGAGAACTTGCACAATTGGTGGCTGACTAAATACTTTTTTTCCCCACTGTGTGTGTGTGTGTGTGTGTGTCTCATATATATATATATATACACATACACAGACACCTGTTCTGAAAGGTCCCAGAGTCTGCACACCACTAAGCAAGGGGCACCACCAAGCAAGCGGCACCATGAAGACCAAGGAGCTCTCTGAACAGGTCAGGGACAACGTTATGGAGAAGTACAGATCAGGGTTGGATTATAACAAAAATATACAAAACTTTGAACATCCCACGGAGCACCATTAAATCCATTATTAAAAAATTGAAAGAATATGGCACCACAACAAACTTGCCAAGAGAGGTCCGCCCACCAAAACTCACAGACCAGGCAAGGAGGGCATTAATCAGAGGCAACAAAGAGACCAAAGATAACCCTGAAGGAGCTGCAAAGCTCCACAGCGGAGATTGGAGTATCTGTCCATAAGACCACTTTAAGCCGTACACTCCACAGAGCTGGGCTTTACGGAAGAGTGGCCAGAAAAAAGCCATTGCTTAAAGGAAAAAATAAGCAAACACGTATGGTGTTCGCCAAAAGGCATGTGGGAGACGCCCCAAACATATGGAAGAAGGTACTCTGGTCAGATGAGACTAAAATTGAGCTTTTTGGCCATCAAGAAAAACGCTATGTCTGGCGCAAACCCAACACCTCTCATCACCCCGAGAACACCATCCCCACAGTGAAGCATGGTGGTGGCAGCATCATGCTGTTGGATGGTTTTCATCGGCAGGGACTGGGAATGGAATGAAGGAATGATGGATGGCGCTAAATACAGGGAAATTCTTGAGGGAAACCTGTTTCAGTCTTCCAGAGATTTGAGACCGGGACGGAGGTTCACCGTCCAACAGGACAATGACCCTAAGCATACTGCTAAAGCAACACTCGAGTGGTTTAAGTGGAAACATTTAAATGTCTTGGAATGGCCTAGTCAAAGCCCAAACCTCAATCCAATTGAGAATCGGTGGTATGACTGCTGTACACCATCGGAACCCATCCAACTTGAAGGAGCAAGAGCAGTTTTGCCTTGAAGAATGAGCAAAAATCCTAGTGGCTAGATGTGCCAAGCTTATAGAGACATACCCCAAGAGACTTGCAGCTGAAATTGCTGCAAAAGGTGGCTCTACAAAGTATTGACTTTGGGGGGGGGGGTGAATAGTTACGCACACACAAGTTCTGTTTTTTTGTCTTATTTCTTGTTTGTTTCACAAGAAGAAATATTTTGCATCTTCAAAGTGGTAGGCATGTCAAATGATACAACCCCCCCCCCAAAATCTATTTTATTCCAGGTTGTAAGGCAACAAAATAGGAAAAATGCCAAGGGGGGTGAATACTTTCGCAAGCCACTGTGTGTGTGTGTGTGTATATATATATATATCTATATATACACATATATATATACACACACACACACACACATACACACACACACACACAGTATATCATCTATATCTATATTCTATTCTGATGCAATGGTCTGATCTTTCGTTATGATTTGCATAGGAATCACAAATCTTATTGATGCAAAACATAGACTCTGATTAATAAACAAGTCAATAGGCAACGAAAAATTAAATGAACATGAACATTTAAAATCGTGTCTGCAAAAACAATAGTTCTTTGAGGTATGAAGTAATCCAACTGATTCCTTTTTACTTCCTTTTTTTTTTATATGTACATTATATTTGGGGCAATATGCCTCCTCCCACTTTGGAATTTAGGGAAGTAAATTAACATATGTATGTTTTCTGTATATACACACACAATACATTGTACAATAGAAACATGATCCTACACAGCTATCAACATTTTAAAGGTGAACTGAAAAATAAAAGCTTGATATTGTGTTCTTCACCAAACAAATAATATAGTTGACACGATGCCTTGAGTATGAAAACGATCTCAGCCCATAGAACGTCCAATTTAGCCAAGTTGCAATCTAGTCACTTACCTCCAACCACTATATTCGTTTTTTAAACAAAAATGTTAGAATATGAATCGGAGGGAAAGATAGAGTAAAATTAAAAGGCAAATTGGTGTATGGACAAAATCTCTTCATCAATTTTAACCACTTTTGTGAAGTTCTACATGTATTTTGGGACCAATTTCGCTGTGTGCATAAAATGTAATGTTCAGCTTGTTTTCTACCAGCCATAATCTGGAGGGAATAACCAAATATAATATATAAGTCATATTGTAATTGTTCCATACAATTTTCTACCAAAATCTGGGGTAAGGAGCACAAAATCATTTTGTGCGTTTTTGTCAGTTTCCCTTTAAGAAGCAGAAACCCTACCCATATTTGCACTCTCCATCACAAATCTGAACCCAATATTTGCTTTTTTTTACAAAATCATCAAGAATTTGGCTAGAAAGTGTACCAGTAAAAAAAATACAGTACAGTTATTTGTCGAACTTTACACTACATAACAAATATAGTCACTGACTAGGAGTTAAAAGTCCTCTCAAATACAAGAAAATATTACGAGAAGTTAAGAAAATACATTGTCACATTAGTTAAGACTTAAAAACAGTATAATACTCAATATGTAAGGCAAAATCAGGTGATCTCACAGTGACAAGTTCAATAGGTTTCTGAGGACATTGTATCCTTCAGATTTTCAGGAGGCATTCAATCTGGATATCCATTTTCAACGAGCAAAGGAGAAATATGGCCATCTTGTTTTGGGAATTTGCCTTTACAGTGTTTTCATTGTCACATTTGCTTAACCTTATCAGCTGCTAAAATGCAAGCATCTGTTGTACATGTTTCTCATTAATTATAACAAACTTAAAACAACCGAGTTGGCACAAGACAAAACCCAAAGATTTCTGGCCCATGTAAGTGATAAAAACATGGGTGAACACTTGCAGACCCTATACTATATTTTAAGAGGCCGAAGCTAATTCTATCTAGCGAGATGTCGTAGCAACTGGCACCCGTTAGAGCTTATGAGCAAATATGGGGAGGATTTGTACTCCTTAAGTTAACAGAGTAGCTTAATAAATACAGTATGTAGGTTAGAAATGAATAAATACACATAAATAACATCAGTGCAGTATGTACAATATGACCACAGCAGAGCAATTTTGGCATCGAACTCAAACACATTTTGAAATGCAACATAATAAAAAAGACATTCAACTAAATTAATAAATATTTCAATAAATAAACATTTAAATATATAACAATCCAACATACTAACATTAACATTTGGTTGTCAATAAAAATAAAGCTTTGAGTGTGAAGTATAAAGCTGTTATGGTGGGTAGGGAAAGATAATCAATTTCAATTATAGGGTAGAAATAACTTGGATGTGGTATTTTGCACATAATATTGTACACAGTATTCATGATACGTATGGTGCAGCTCATCTTCCTAGTGGCTTTTTGCTTTTGAAATCGCAAAATGTAGAGTTGTAAAAAAATAAATAATGAAAAAATGTAATAAAATAAAAAGGAGATAAAATCTGTTCAACTGTGACACGGTGGGATATATGGTAAGTAATGAGATATACACACACACACACACACACACACACACACATATATAAATAACGCAGCAGGCTAGCAAAGCTCTGACCAACTAACAATCTCATTGGAAATGACAGCTATGCCCTTCCCAAACCCAACAAGTCATTGCATGTTCTTCTCTGCAATGGTTTTTGATGGCATATAATTTCAAAGGACTTGAGGGTGAGATCAGATAGCTGAACGGCCATGAAACTGGGGAGATGATTCACCCCCACCATGCCTCGTTTCCCTTTCTTCCCAGGGTAATTTTTTTGTTGGCCACAGCCAGCATTCTGCATTACAGCCTGTCCATCCTGAACGTGTCCTCAGTGGCAGGGTCAGCCAGAACCATGTCGGGGTCATTGAGCATGTGCAGTCCGTCCAGGGTGAGAGGGTCGATCTTCAGCTCGTCCAATGGGAACGGAGAGTCCGCGTCAAAGCTGACATCTCCAACACCAGCCAGTGAGTTGGTTAACTCCTTAGAGAGGCTGGGTGGAGACTCACCTGTGACTAAAATTCAACATTTGGGGAAACATTTGACATTTGTAAATCAAAGCAGCTGTTAGATAACTACCAATATTATTTAAGTAACATTCTTCATTCAAATAACCTATAACAAGAGAAAAACAAAATACGTTTTCCTCATACTGGCCAACCTTCATAAAAAAAATGTACTCTAATCAAGCCAAGAGGAATGATTTACTTGATTAGGTGTGTACAGTGCCAGAATAAGTTGAATTACATGACAGGCTCGCTAATTGGCTCAGCAGCTGCTCAGTACCTGTGAGGATGATGTTAGGGATGTTGCCATGGCTACTGTAACCCAACTGCTGGGAGTCGTGCAGGCTGCTCCCTGTAAGGCCCATCATGGCTGCTTGTGTGTAGTTGAGGGTAGAGCACTGGCTGTATAGGCTATTGGAGCTGATGGGGTTCTCAATCATATTGAACTGCTCGAGCTAGGCAAGTGAAAGTGAAAAATACATGTTTAATAAGTCAAGTTAGGTAATAGAATAGAGAGATCAGGCACAATTTCTAATATGGATACATTCAGGGGGGGAAAGAGTTGCAGTGAAAATAGAGCCAGTGAAATTCCTGTCCTAGTTTGGTGTGGGTTAAATCACCTGGTGGGAGAGAGCATTGGTCTGCCGAGATGCTAGCTGCTGATCGTAGAACGAATCCCCAAATATACTGCCCACCACTGGAATGTGCTGAAAGAGACATTTGACCACTGATTAGAGTGGAGAAAAAAAATGGGTTATGGAAACTAATAGGCCTACAGCTAATCAGTACAGCCTTTTTCTTGGGTATCTGAGGGATAAGGGAACAGTACAGTTATGAAACGTCACAAAAAGCACAAGCATGAGGCAATCTACAAGCCAGTAAATTCAAGCACCGTTAGCAAATGGCTGTTCATGACTGCACAAACACTAGCATCTGATAACACTTTATCATGCCTATTCAGCCCATGTTTTAAAAATTAACCATAGAATGCATGATTCATAAAGAGCCACATCCACATAAATGTTTCAGCAGTAAGATTTGATACAGCTGAACAAATATCATGAAAATCAAGAGGATATCACAATAGATCTCCAGAATGAGCCATCTTGTCATTTTTAGAGGGATGAGCTAGCAAAACAGTGCTGGAGCGGTAGCTATTAGCGAACCGACCGTAAATAAATGCGTGACTTTTGCTAGCTAGCTAACTTTGGGGTGAAGTTAATTAGCTTCTGCAGCTTCTCTCTGCTAGCAACTGTAACATGGTTTCATGCCTTCAAAACTGACATGTCCCAGTAATACTTACATTTGACAAACGTTGTGACGTATCCACCTTTTAAGCATAATGTGGTCCTTTGTAGCTCAATTGGTAGAGCATGGCGCTTGTAACGCCAGGGTAGTGGGTTCGATCCCCAGGACCACCCATACGTAAAAATTTATGCACACATGACTAAGTCGCTTTGGATAAAAGCGTCTGCTAAATGGCATATTATATTATTATAATTACTTGCCAAAGTTTGGCAATATAACAAACCCAACTTTGGAATTCAGAAATAAAAAAAACAGCACAATAAGTAAGTGGAACATGAAGCATATACCGTATATACAGCTACTTTCCCATGGAAGATCACATTACTGTAGCCAGCTGTAATACTGTATATGTAAAGGTAGGCTAGGTTTTGATGGGATCAGACACTTTCACAGGAACAGCAACAAACAGAACTATACTGAATAAAAATATAAACGCAATATGCAACAATTAACTATTTTACTGAGTTACAGTTCATAAGGAAATCAGTCAATTGAAATAAATAAATAATGCCCTAATATAATGGATTTCACATGACTGGGCAGGGGCGCAGCCATGGGTGGACTGAGGCAATCAGAATGAGTTACTCTCCACAAAAGGGCTTTATTACAGACAGAAATACTCCTCAGTTTTATCAGCTGTCCGGAGGTGAAGAAGCCGGATGTGGAGGTCCTGGGCTAACGTAGTTACACGTGGTCTGCGGTTGTGAGGCACGTTGAACGTACTGCCAAATTCTCTAAAACGACATTGGAGGCGGCTTATGGTAGAGAAATGAACATTCAATTCTCTGGCAACAGCTCTAGTGGACATTCCTGCAGTCAGCATGCCAATTGCACACTCCCTCAAAACTTGAGACATCTGTGGCATTGTGTTGTGTCACAACTGCAAATCTTTAGATCTGCCTTTTATTTTCCCCAGCACAAGGTGCACCTGTGAAATGATCATGCTGTTTAATCAGCTTCTTGATATGCCACACCTGTCAGGTGGATGGATTATCTTGGCAAAGGAGAAATGCTCACTAACAGGGATGTAAACAAATTTGTGCACAAAATTTGAGAGAAATAAGCTTTTTGTGCATATGGAACATTTTTGGCATATTTTATTTCAGCACATAAAACATGGGACCAACACGTTACATGTTGCATTTATATTTTTGTTCAGTATAGAAAGAGTTAAACCCATTTCTCACACCTGACACTTAGCATTGTTAACAGGATATTTCCCCCAAAATTAATCAATAAACCACTGTATGCCAACAGGAGACAACCAAAGCTGCTACAAATGGGTTGGCATATCCAAAACTAAAAATAATGATAATTAAGGTTCCAGGTAGGTGCTGCATATTCACAGGACATACACTACATGGATAACAGTATGTGGACACCTGATCGTCGAACATCTCATTCCAAAATCATGGGCATTAATATGGAGTTGGTCCCCCCCTTTCCTGCTATAACAGCCTCCACTCTTCTGGGAAGGCTTTCCACTAGATGTTGGAACATTGCTGCGGGGACTTGCTTCCATTCACCCACAAGCGCATTAGTGAGGTCGGGCACTGATGTTGGGCGATTAGGCCTGGCTCGCAGTCGGCGTTCCAATTCATCCCAAAGGTGTTCGATGGGATTGAGGTCAGGGCTCTGTGCAGGCCAGTCAAGTTCTTCCACACCGATCTCGACAAACCATTTCTGTATGGACCTCGCTTTGTGCACTGGGGCATTGTCATGCTGAAACAAGAAAGGGCCTTCCCCAAACTGTTGCCACAAAGTTGGAAGCACAGAATCGTCTAGAATGTCATTGTATGCTGTAGCGTTAAGATTTCCCTTCACTGGAACTAAGGAGCCTAGCCCAAACAATAAAAAAACAGCCCCAAACCATTATTCCTCCTCCGCCAAACTTTACAGTTGGCACTATGCATTCGAGCAGGTAGTGTTCTCCTGGCATCCGCCAAACCCAGATTCATCCGTCGGATTGCCAGATGGTAAAGCATGAATTATCACTCGCGAGAACGCGTTTCCACTGCTCCAGAGTCCAATGGCGGCGAGCTATATGCCACCCCAGCCGACGCTTGGCATTGCGGCTGCTCAGCCATGGAAACCCATTTCATGAAGCTCCCGACGAACAGTTATTGTGCTGACGTTGCTTCCAGAGGCAGTTTGGAACTCGGTAGTAAGTGTTGCAACCGAGGACAGATGATTTTTTACGCGCTACGTGCTTCAGCACTTGGCGTTCGCGTCCTGTGAGCTTGTGTGGCCTACCACTTCACGGCTGAGCAGTTGTTGCTCCTAGATGTTTCCACTTCACAATAACAGCACTTACAGTTGACCGGGGCAGCTCTATTAGGGCAAAAATATGACGAACTGACTTGTTGGAAAGGTGGCATCCTATGACGGTGCCACGTTGAAAGTCACTGAGCTCTTCAGTAAGGCCATTCTGTTTGTCTATGGAGATTGCATGGCTGTGTGCTCAATATTATAAACTTGTCAGCAACGGATATGGCCGAAATAGCCGAATCCACTAATTTGAAGAGGTGTCCACATACTTTGGCCATGTAGTGTATATTTGGTTCAAGCAAAAGCACAAAAAGCTGATATGCAAAAACACTCAAAGACCTGAGCCAATATGATAAGCAGACATCGAGCAGTGGTCTGGAGGAGAGGAAATGGGGGTGGGATTGCTGACACCATGGATGGTAGCGAGAGGCTGGGATGAGTAGCAGCTGGACCAATTACAGCCAATTCCAGGCAAAAAACCCTCCCCCAACAAGGCAGCTTGGTGGTTTCGCCCTTACTTGAGGCGAGCCGCCAGGGGAGAAGCCTTGATTGGAGACTGGGGAGGTTGGAGACTGATTGGCCGGAGAGCCTGTCTGATTGCGGTACTGTTGGAGGGAAGAGTGTTAACCGGTGCAGAATTTCTAAACACTAGCCACAGATCACTCAGAGAAGGTCCCAAGGACAGTCTGAGGTGGGCTCTGTCTTAAGCAACTACACCATCTATCCACAGACCAGTTCACTCCCAATGAAAAGACACAAAAACTAAACGCAAATCAGCCATTGCTGAAGTGAACCAAACTTTGTAGGAGCTAGAATTTCACTGTGTATGAGTAAGGAAGTCAAATTATCAACAGTCAAGGTACTGACAAGCAGGAAACTCAATTCAACAGAAGAAACTTGTGTAAAGAGACTTCACAGATCTTAAGTCATTCCTCTACCTGTTGTCCTCCAAAATAAAACAAATGTATGGTGAGCAGCTATAGAAAGCTAGCGAGTGTTATCCAGCTAATCTAATTAGATTCTTTTCAGAAATAATGAAATGAAATAAACCACAGTGACCAAGACAATTGTTCTGAATGAAATAATTTCCTGACAGCTGTCACAAAAACCCTGAGAATTATTGCTGGTAATAATGTCACCTATCATCTTGTCGAAAGGCTAATCCACTTACGCTTGGAAACAATCTTAACACTAATGAGTTTGGTCCAATGTCACAAACAAAAACATTTGACGATGAAGAGCAGTACAGAAGTGTAGAGCACCATAGCAGGCACAAAATGCCCATGGTAAGTCTTTAGAACAATTATCGAAACAAGGACTACAACACAGTATTTTTCTTGGAACTTGTCAGCTCACACTTTCCTCCCCTTGTCTGTGTCATCTTTCTACAGTGTGCGACTCACCGAGTTGATGTTGACGCTTGCGGGCGTCTGGATCTGGCTGTCCTGGGAGGACTGGGTGGCTGTGGGGGCAGTGGTGGTGGCCAGGGTGATCAGCCTGATGCCCTGGGGCAGGGCTTGCTGCTGCAGGTCATTGAGCACTTGGGCCTGGGCCTGCGCTGTCAGCTGGCTAAAGAAAGCATACTGGGATAGCTGTTGCTCCAGAGTAAAGGCCTCCATCGCCACCGCCTGGTAATGATTAAAAAAAATATATATATATTTTTTACCAGGCTAAAAACTGCAAGATTTTGGGGTGAAACAATGAAAACAAGGTATCCGACAGTGTTAGGACAGGGTTACAGTAGCTAGCAAAATAGTGTATGAGCGGTTGGTAAAATTAAAATGCAATTCATTTTAGTAAGCAAGCTAACTAACTTGGCTAACTGTGAGGTGAAACAATTAACTTAGAGTTAGTTAGCTAACGCACAGCTCTTTGTTAGCAGTGTTTTCCACTAGCGCTGGCTGTCGGCTGTACAGCTGGTTACACACACATTTTCAAGCCGGGTACTTTTTCCACTTAAAGGTGCACTATGCAGAAATCCTATCCTGGTTGCTAAATTTCTAATAGTTCGCCTAATTTCAGTTTATATGTGAGAAAACAAGCAAGTATAGTGTAGCGAATCATTGTACCATCTAAACCATTGTGAAATATATTTTCCATAACAAAAAATATTATATTTTTCAGCTGTTTGACGCTGGTGTACAAAACCGAAAGTAAAAGAAGCAAAAACTAAACTTAAGAACAGGACGCATAGAAATAGCACACATAAAGATCTACCACTTCTTAGACTTGCTTTCAATGAAAATGACAGTTCTATAACTTACATTTCTATGTGAATTTGGTCAGGTCGCCCAAAATAAGTGGCATATTGCAGCTTTAAATTAAACAATGCTACTTTTTTTGTATAATTTGCAAGTCAGAAATAAGTATGCCCTCTCCCGGTACCTGTGTGTGTGTGTTGTGTACACTGTGGTTGCAGTCAGATTTCTTTACACGGAGGGAGAAAGCATGATGCTCCTTCATCGTCTATGTGAATCAATTTGCACGTCCCATATAATGTGGTAACGATGAGTCAAAATCCACTTAGCCTATTGTTTTCTGGCACATTCTTTTATTTTATTTGGCAAGTTTCATATGCAGCCACAAAGTGCTGGTGTATAGGCTTACTGTGATTTGATTGACGAACAGCAAGCTTGACTAGTTTATAAATTGTATCGAACTGACTGAATAAAGTTGATCTCATATCCTTGCCATGCATAAATCATACAATGTAGTTATACACAGTGTACAAAACATTAGGAACACCGTCCTAATATTGAGTTGCACCCCCTTTTGTCCTCAGAACAGCCTCAATTTGCCGGGGCATGGACTGACTCTACAAGGTGTCGAAAGCGTTCCACAGGGATGCTGGCCCATGTGTCAAGTTGGCTGGATGTCCTTTGGGTGTTGGACCATTCTTGACACACAGGAAACTGTTGAGCATGAAAAACCCAGCAGCATTGCAGTTCTTGACACAAACCGGTGCGCCTGGCACCTACTACAATACCCCGTTCAAAGGCACTTAAATATTTTGTCTTGCCCAATCACCCTCTGTATGGCACACATACACAATCTTTGTCTCAAGGCTTAAAAATCTTTCTTCAACCTGTCTCCTCCCCTTCATCTACAATGATTGAAGTGGATTTAATAAGTGACATCAATAAGGGATCATAGCTTTCACCTGGTCAGTCTGTCATGGAAAGAGCAGGTGTTCATAATATTTTGTACACTCTATGTAGGTCTACTGATTTAATCAGTGTTTACAATGGAGTAGTCAACTGCTGCTTTCTGTGTAGCAAAGTCCATGATTAACACCTGCTTCATTATTCAAACCTACCTGTATTGCAGATAGCTGAGAAAATGCCTCTTAAAAGGAAGCTTGAAGCATGTGGAAGTCAGCAGATTCTTACAAGATTCTTTAAGAAGAAAATCTGTGGGTCAGTTGTTAAACAAGTATTTTTTAGAATGAATGACATACTGTAATTCACAAAGAGAGTTGCAAACACTTGCAGAAATTATTTCACTGATGCCGTTCTCTCACTTCTCTTAACATGTATGGACCCAGAACTTCTTTGAGCATCTGTTCTATTTATTTTAGAGATCCATTTTTTCAGGGGATCCTGGCTGGCTACTTTTTCTATAGGGGCTGGCTACTCCATGTGCTTGTGGAAAACACTGTGCTAGCAAACATAACGCTGCCAAAACTGATAAGGTGGCTCCAGTAATGTTTACATTTACACCTTTTTTTGCTTTGTGACCAACTTTTTATTTCATTTGTCATTTTTTCAGACGGGGGTAACAGGTACGGTTATAAAATTCAAAGTCATTAATTCAGATATATTAATATATTAAATTATCATATTTGCATTTACTATTTTCATATATTGTCTTGTACCTGTGGGCTGTCACTCAAAATAATAATAAAAAGTGCATTAGTAAAAACTAACTGGTTTAACATACAAGTGACTGCCAAAATAAAGGAAACACCAACATAAAGTGTCTTAATAGGGCATTGGGCCACCACAAGCCAGAACAGCTTCAATGCACCTTGGCATAGATCCTACAAGTGTCTGGAACTCTATTGGAGGGATGCGACGCCATTCTTCCACGAGAAATTCAATAATTTGTTGATTTGTTGATGGTGGTGGAAAACGCTGTCTCAGGCGCCGCTCCAGAATCTCCCATAAGTGTTCAATTGGGTTGAAATCTGGTGACTGAGACGGCCATGGCATATGGTTAACATAATTTGAATGCTAATCAAACTATTCAGTGACCACTCGTGCCCTGTGGATGGGGGTATTATCACCCTATGGGGGCATAGCCATGGTAGCCATATATAAATGGTCTTCCCAGCATTTTTACACATGACCCTAAGCATGATGGGATGTTAATTGCTTAAATAACTCAGGAACCACACCTGTATGGAAGCACCTGCTTTCAATATACTTTGTGTCCCTCATTTACTTGTGTTTCAATTATTTGGGCAGTTACCTGTACATTACCTACTGTATATCTTCATGCAGTATATAGCACCCAGATGAAGATTTAAAAAAAAGAAAATATGAATGACCTTTTACTGAGCTTACATTTTCCTCCAATATACACAGAGTGTACAAAACATTAAGGAAACCTGCTCTTTCCATGACATACACTGACAAGGTGAATCCAGGTAAAAGCTACGATCCCTTATTGATGTCACTTGTCAAATCCACTTCAATCAGTGTAGATGAAGAGTAGTAGACAGGTTAAATAATAGTTTTAAAGTCTTGGGACAATTGAGACATGGATTGCGTCTGTGTGTCATTCAGAGGGTGAATGGGCAAGAACAATATTTTAAGTGCCTTAGAATGGGTTATGGTAGTAGTTTGTGTCAAGAACTGCAACCCTGCTGGGTTTTTTCACGCTCAACAGTTTCCTGTGGTTATCAATAATGGTCCACCACCCAAAGGACACCCAGCCAACTTGACACAACTGTGGGAAGCATTGGAGTCAACATGGGCCAGCATCCTGTGGAAAGCATTCAACACCTTTTAGAGTCAATGCCCCGATGAATTAAGGCTGTTCTGAGGGCTGTTACGGTGACCGTACTATCGGTCACAAGTCATGACGGCAGTCAAATTCCACGTGCTGCTGATGGTCATTAGTAGCCTATCAAACTTGCTGACTGCGTGGTACTCAGCACTCCATTGTCCCTCTAAATCACTCTGACATCAATGTAAATGTAATCAAACACTTCACGAGAGCCCATGAGCTCATGTTGGGCAACATTTCTATAGGCTATGCAATTGCGTGAGAAAACAGAGTGATGGCCTCTATTAAAGAAAGGAGGATCCCATCAGCTTTCTATAGGCTAGTCCTACTATATTTATTTCTCAACTTTCCTAATATTAAGCACATTGCTTCTCTTTACAACAAAGGAGTATAGCCTACCTGGCTGGCATGAAAATTAACCACGGGAAAAGCGTCCTCCATTCGCTATTTAAGTGCATAGATGACATTGATTTTTTTCCCGCTGCCCCTGTTTCGAGACAGGTGCATGATAATGGTCCATTCTAAATCAAAGCAAATTTCACACATATTATTTAGTATATGTAAAGACTAGATTAAATCAAGAATAGTGTGATGGGTGACAATATTAGCCCATCACTTGGGAATGATTTTGTATCACTTGTGAATGATGCTCAGCTTAAGGCAAGAAACACGCATGCTATCTTTTGACCGACTTTTTCAAATCATAGTCGCACACCTCATATAGCCCAGCCCATAGGCCTATATGTTTTGATAAGGTTTGTATCACAACTAAAGTGGCCAAATAACTTCTTAAAATTAAGCACATTAAATCATCTTTACAACGGGTGTAAGAGCCTAACTGGCATACATAAGCAGCACGTGAGTTTCAAGTTTGGGGAAGATCATTTTCACCATAAAAATGCACCTTTATAATAAAAGCATTACATGCATAAATCGCATTTGTGGTCACTTTTGAGAATGGTGTTTTCCTGCTAATGGACCATTCGCGCTTTTAGCCTACTGCCGTGTGCGCATTGCTGCGCTTATAATGTGAAGAACTTGCCTAATAGTGTATCAACATTTTAAGCTAAACGTTCTCATCGGTTGCGTCAGGCTCATTGCTTAAAACAGGTTTTTTGATGCTAGTTGTATTCATTTGGGTTCGCATCCCACAACTGTGTTTGCAATATTTATTTATCGCACAGAAAAGGTCAGCTTTTGTACTATGGGGGATAGTAGATTAACATAGGCTAGTGCTTTTGCTGTTCGTTAGGCCTACTCATCTTGTTGGCTGACGAAAAGTAAATGTGGACAGTTCTTCCAATATCTTCAATACGGGCCTCGGAATTGTATAAGGACGCGCGCAGTTGCGTCCCTGATGTGTCTGTCTTCACTTGTAGCCTGTGTGAAAGACCCTATCACTTGACGTAGAGCCATGTGAGTGAGAGATGCTTCAGCACGCAGCCGGGAGAAGGGAATTATACTTATTATATTCAGCCCAAGGGCACAACGGCCACAAAAGGCATGGATTTTTTTAGGGGGCATTACTGCCACACAAAGGGGATGCAGTCGGGAAATTCAAGGCATTATCAAGTGCTTGTCAAATTGTGAATGAGAGACTGATGAAGTGTACAGCCTGCGCAAAAAACTAAGCTGAGCTCATGCCTTTCATTAGACTTTTTTCAAATCATTAGAGAATCGAATCATGCAGCCTTAGATTTTTGTTAAAAATCTAAACATTTAGCCCAACATTTGTATCACAACTAAAGTTACATAAATAACTCTAAATTAAGCATATAGGAGTTTCTTTGTTAACCGCTCAACACAGAATAGCCGCATCCGCGCACTCCCTCAAATCGTTTGGAGAAAATATATTTTCTATTTTATTCAGCTATGTTCAATTGTATTCTTCATGCTATAAAATAATATACAATAATGCCATGGAATTCTAAGCAAATCTTGTCTAGCCATATCAGGGCCTAACATAAAGACAACTCAGAGTATGCTATTATTTTCTTCTGAAATGGACTACATTTTCTTCATATGTTTCTTTAGACCTGTCTAAAATAAATAATGGATTTATTGTGATGGTGTAGGCTATATTACATGGATTTATTAGACTAAAATGTACATGTTCAAAAGGTCTACATCAGTGGCTTGTAGGCTATGCGTGGAAGCCAGGAGATGCTAAATGTGTTTACATTTACATTTTAGTCATTTAGCAGACACTCTTATCCAGAGCGACTTACAGTTAGTGAGTGCATCCATTTATTTTTTATTTTTCATACTATTTTTGATACCCCCGTGGGAATCGAACCCACAACCCTGCCGTTGCAAACGCCATGCTCTACCAACTGAGCTACATCCCTGCCGGCCATTCCCTCCCCTACCCTAGACGACGCTGGGCCAATTGTGCGCCGCCCCATGGGTCTCCCGGTCAAGGCCGGCTACGACAGAGCCTGGATTCGAACCAGGATCTCTAGTGGCACAGCTAGCACTGCGATGCAGTGCTAGCTGTGCCACTAGAGATCCTGGTTATTTGGTTATTACCTTGACAATGTCATGACCGCCACACTAGGTTCAACTCCATATTAGGAAGGTGTCCTTAATGTTTTGTACACTCAGCATTACAAGAGTGGCTGAATATCTTGTGAGGATCTAGTTTTTGCCCAGTGGCACAAAGACTTAGTATGTTATAAAACATTTTCTCAGGTCATGGTCAGAACAGGTAACAGTCAAGACTGGAGCCATGGGCGGAGGAAGATTAATGTTTTTCATTTGAAAGTAGCTCACACTCGGAGCATTGTTTGTGATCGAATGCCTTCTTCGAGAAATTGAAAGCACTAAATTACTCGAGGGATCTTTGCTAGCCGGGTCATTCCAGGAAACAAGGCCAAACTACATCTGGCAGGCATCGCTTGCTCACCTCGCATAGGGATTTAGCCATGTAAGAGAAAAATACTTCCACCAGTTTTAGGGTTGAGTTATAATTTCATTTCTGTCTACATAGCTGTTTAGTTTACTCCAGCACTATTATAAAATGTGCCCTATATAAGAGCCAACCCCACGGACAATTGGTAGAGTAAGCTGAAATATAATTGTATTCAACAAGGGACGTTTAGGTTTTTGTCTATGTAATAATGCTTGGCCCTGCTGTCCAGGGATTGGATAGCATTGGTCACGTCGGGACTATTCACCTGGATGTTGAGAGGGGGCGACAGCGTGGGGGAGAGCTGCTGCGGGGACTGCTGTGGCTGGGGGTCTGCGTTGAGGGTTAGGGGGATCAGGGTGGGCTGCCTGCGCTGGGCTGCCATAGTCATTGTAGGCTGAGAGGTGGTGGTGTTCCCTGCCAAGACACAACAGTACAGGCACAAGTGACTTCTCTGAAGAACAGCAAAACTTGTTCTGGGCATTGCTTTGCAATGCAACATTTCTGCAATGTACATTTCTGTAATGCTATGTAACATGTTCACAACTACATTGAACAGATTTTCTAGGGAATGGTGCTGTATGTTTCTGACTTTGTCAATCGTCTGCATACATCCACATATGCCAATCACTAAGTAATAAAGTACCCACCCATCTAGCTTTAGTAAGCTTGGCAAATGGCGTTTCTGTAACTTGATGCGTAATCATTCTGTGAAATCTTCGCAGTATTGAAATGGTTCTTCCTCAAATACACTGAACAAAAATATAAAACGCAACAATTTAAGATTTTATTGAGTTACAGTTTATATAAGGAAATCAGTCAATTGAAATCAATTCATTAGGCCTTAATCTATGGATTTCAAATGACTGGGAATACAGATACCTTAAAAAAAAGGTAGGGGCGTGGATCATAAAACCAGTCAGTATCTGGTGTGACCATTTGCCTCGTGCAGCACATAACATCTCCTTCGCATAGAGTTGATTAGGCTGTTGATTGTGGCCTGTGGAATGTTGTCTCACTCTTCAATGGCTGTGTGATGTTGCTGGATATTGGCGGGAACTGGAACACGATGTCATACAAGTCAATCCAGAGCATCCCAAACATGCTCAATGGGTGACATGTCTGGTGAGTATGCAGGCCATGAAAGAACTGGGACATTTCAGCTTCCAGGAATTGTGTACAGATCCTTGCGACATGGGGGCGTGCATTATCATGCTGAAACAGGAGGTGAAGGCGGCGGTTGAATGGCACGGCAATGGGCCTCAGGATCTCGTCACAGTATCTCTGTGCATTCAAATTGCCATCGATAAAATGCAATTGTGTTCGTCATCTGTAGCTTATGCCTGCCTTTATCATAACCCCACTGCCACCATGGGGCACTCTGTTCACATCAGCAAACCGCCATACACGCTGTCTGCCATCTGCCCAGTACAGTTGAAACCGGGATTAATTCTTGAAAAGCACACTTCTCCAGCGTGCCAGTGGCCATCAAAGGTATTATTTTTGTTCAGTATAGAATCTATATTCTCTTAATTTTAACTAGAGATGCACATGGAGCAGGAGAGTCATCCATACTCCTGCCAGCCAGCTGAGCATGTTCTTTTCCAGAGACAGAGGGGAGGGAAACTGAGTCTAGTCAAGACGTTCAAGGCACTCCAGTGTTTGTAGGCAGCTTGTATTCAGCAGTGCTTCACTTGAAGCAATATTTGTGATTGGGATTTGGCAGGGTAATGACAACACCTTGTAAGGACAATGTAGTTGTATCACATGATTATCATTGTACACCATGCAGTTATTACATTAACAGGTTATTCTTCTAAGGTATGTAGATGATTGTCAAAGTCAGGTTTTTGGATGTTATGTCCTCAAAAAACAGCCATGCTCAAACAAAGGGAGAAAGGTTGCTGCCTATCAGTGCATGGAGTTCGGGAAGGTGGATCAGAAAAGTAACTTTGTTACAAAATTTGCTTGGTGCCTTTAATGAAAACCCATAGAGTATCCTTGGTTAAATTTTTTATCCGAATATCATATACCTTTAATTTGCCACATTCATTTTGCCAACGATTACTTACCATGGCTGGCAGCACTGATGCCGAGGTGGGTGACGTTGGTGGTCAGGTTGCCTGTGCTGTTGGAAGAGCTAAGGGAAGGAAACGCCACAGTGTCGTCTGGGTCCAGCGGAGTGGGCAGCGGTGGGGGGAACTGGATGTTGGTCAGATCAGGCAGGGAGCCTCCCGTATTCAGCGTGGCTGGGATCAATGACGTGTTCACTTCCTGATCTGGTGATGGAAATATACTAGAGGGGAGAAAGAAAAGGGATACACATTTCCTAAAACAGCACTTGACAAAAGACAATCCATTAGAAAATGACTGTTGTTTGTTTGTTTTTATGAATGATGACATTTCTCGTTGTTGTGTGTGTGGAAATGACAGATGCTAGTTATATGGTGTCATAGGTCCTCTCTCACACAGACACATTTTCTCTTCACCAAGTCATCTTTGAACATAATTCATTCTAAGCATGCCCTGGACAGATCTTTTTCACAAAGCACCTTTCTACAGGGTATGGTCCTGCCGGAGCACCATATTCAGATTTATGAATGATAGAATGTGCAGCAATTACTCACTTGATCCCAGGGACTTCGCAGGACTTGTTTCTTGATGAGTCATTCTGAAGGGAAAGTACACTCAGCATTTTAAAAAATCCCCAAAATGGTGAGCAAGCACTGATACAACTAGGCTACATATTAACTCCTTTACCTTTTTGTTATCCCACTGTGTATCCTTGTCTGCGCCTGATTCAGACTCCTCAGTCCCAGGCACCGTAAGCAGCAGCACTAAATGGTGAAAGAGTAATATAAATGACAATTTAAGGTACTAAGCTAAATTCAAATCAACCCACATTGCAGTATTTTCAGAGTAGCATTCTTCCTGTAGTGAAATTAAATTGCATAATGGTTTTGGGTACAGTAAAAACACCCGTTAGATCTCCATAACAGGTAGCTAGATACTTCCAGTTTTCAGAAGACAATATTATAGATCTATTTTCCTGTGTCATCTTGAGGAATTTCAATTGAGACCATTCCCAGAGGAGATAAGTTCCCTTCAAGAAAATTACTTAGTTTAGCACAATTTAACTCAAAATACTACAACAAATCAGTAAGCAGTAGTTGGTTGAACACATAAATCAAAATGTGATCGCTTCACAGAAAGAGAATAGCTGCTCCAACATGGACAAAAACTGTGGAACACAACACCTTCATGTCATAAATTATCCAGAAGATTCCACAGTGGCTTACCCTTTCGTGAGGACATGTGGATTCATGCATGAATAAATTGGATCAGGCCTGAATAAATAGAAGCTGTTCCGTGTCCATGTAACTGGATCCTCCATTACCTCGTTTAGGCTGTAGCTCTTGTGATCCCCCTGCAAACGCATCCTGGGGCACAGGGTTCATGGTGTTCTGGTGTAGGGCTGAGTCGGAGTTTGTCCTGTGGCATTAGAACGAAGAGAGATCAACAAAATATATCTGTGGCCCCTATTCCCCAACATCATTTGTGGCATGCTATTTGTCAGCCTCTGGGTAAAAAGAAATGTCAGTTAAATTGAGCATGCCATTTCTAATTGAAAAAATGCAATTTACATGGACATTGCATGTACTGTGCTTTTCCTGAATTTAGATTAAATACAAACCCTAGTTTTCTTTGTGTGAATATAAGGTAATTAATGGCCTACCTCCTCCAACTTGTATCCGGTGGGGGTGAGAGGTACACTGAGCTATAGGGGCAGCTGTCAATGTGGATCTCAGTTAAGGACGAAAATGGTGGTGAGATTAACCTAAATCCCTATAATTGAATGGTCAAGTTAACTATCAGTATTCATCTACCGAAGTGCAAAATCCAACTGTAACCATGATCTGACAATGACACATGCCGTTTTAAACAAGTACTAATTAAGTGAAAGTTTTGTAAAGACCATTCTGTTCTACTCCAAAATAATAAGCTGAGTGCAGTCGAAGGATATCTGGCGGCCATGTTTGTCCACAGAGATGGGCCGGCGATGGGGGGAGGTTATGCGGTTCCGATCGCGGTAAACACGGTCCACCAGCCCGTGATGCCTGGTCGACCGACTGGTGTCCAAAGCGGAATTCTGGACAGGATACGCAAAATCAACCATACAAGAAAAATTGGGCATTTGAAACACACACAAAAATTTAGAATTAAAATGTCTTGATATAATATGGTGCAAATGTATTCATTTCAAAATGGGTCAAGTTATGGGCCCTCATACTCATGCTCAAGTTAGCAAACATGTTTAAAAAAATGGAAAGCCATGATATAGAAAGCAATGACAAAGGCTCCTTGTATTTGTGTTTTTTGGGAATCTTTTTAAACATTTCAAAATGGGGTGAGGGTGTTTGATGTTCAATTTGAGCTTTCTTCTGAGACTTGGTTTTACAATTTTTTCAAGTGTCTTGAATTGGATTCTTGTTAACAATATAGGGTAACGCGAGGGTGAAACGTAGCCTATCATGGAAGCTCTGAAAGATTACATTTCCCTCAGGTGAGATTTAATTGTTGTATCACGCAAATTAAAAACAAAGTTTTACCAACTGATAGAGAAGCTGAGAGCTCACCTGAAAAGGCAGGTCAATGTTGCTATTTCCAATCTGATTGACATTGGGCAGTGAGCCTCCATAGTACTGTCCACGATTCTGCCCTAGTTGCAAATACTGGGTCTTCTGTAACTGCAACTGTGCAAAGTAAAATCGCATGAAAGCATGAATGAATGATTAAACTAATACATGAAAGATTACACACAAAATATTGATAGAAAAGTTCCACAGTGCTAAAGATAGAATGGACCACATCTAAAAGGCCTGATGAGATAAGATACAGTGAGGGGAAAAAGTATTTGATCCCCTGCTGATTTTGTACGTTTGCCCACTGACAAAGAAATGATCAGTCTATAATTTTAATGGTATGTTTATTTGAACAGTGAGAGACAGAATAACAACAACAAAATCCAGAAAAACGCATGTCAAAAATGTTATAAATTGATTTGCATTTTAATGAGGGAAATAAGTATTTGACCCCCTCTGAATCAGAAAGATTTCTGGCTCCCAGGTGTCTTTTATACAGGTAACGAGCTGAGATTAGGAGCACACTCTTAAAGGAAGCAATCAATCAAAGCAATCAATCAGAAGCAATCAATCAATCAGATTCCAAACTCTCCACCATGGCCAAGACCAAAGAGCTCTCCAAGGATGTCAGGGACAAGATTGTAGACCTACACAAGTCTGGAATGGGCTACAAGACCATCGCCAAGCAGCTTGGTGAGAAGGTGACAACAGTTGGTGCGATTATTCGCAAATGGAAGAAACACAAAAGAACTGTCAATCTCCCTCGGCCTGGGGCTCCATGCAAGATCTCACCTCGTGGAGTTGCAATGATCATGAGAACGGTGAGGAATCAGCCCAGAACTACACGAGAGGATCTTGTCAATGATCTCAAGGCAGCTGGGACCATAGTCACCAAGAAAACAATTGGTAACACACTACGCCGTGAAGGAATGAAATCCTGCAGCGCCCGCAAGGTCCCCCTGCTCAAGAAAGCACATATACATGCCCGTCTGAAGTTTGCCAATGAACATCTGAATGATTCAGAGGAGAACTGGGTGAAAGTGTTGTGGTCAGATGAGACCAAAATCGAGCTCTTTGGCATCAACTCAACTCACCGTGTTTGGAGGAGGAGGAATTCTGCCTATGACCCCAAGAACACCATCCTCACCGTCAAACATGGAGGTGGAAACATTATGCTTTGGGGGTGTTTTTCTGCTAAGGGGAGAGGACAACTTCACCGCATCAAAGGGACGATGGACGGGGCCATGTACCGTCAAATCTTGGGTGAGAACCTCCTTCCCTCAAACAGGGCATTGAAAATGGGTCGTGGATGGGTATTCCAGCATGACAATGACCCAAAACATACGACCAAGGCAACAAAGGGGTGGCTCAAGAAGAAGCACATTAAGGTCCTGGAGTGGCCTAGCCAGTCTCCAGACCTTAATCCCATAGAAAATCTGTGGAGGGAGCTGAAGGTTCGAGTTGCCAAACGTCAGCCTCGAAACCTTAATGACTTGGAGAAGATCTGCAAAGAGGAGTGGGACAAAATCCCTCCTGAGATGTGTGCAAACCTGGTGGCCAACTACAAGAAACGTCTGACCTCTGTGATTGCCAACAAGGGTTTTGCCACCAAGTACTAAGTCATGTTTTGCAGAGGGGTCAAATACTTATTTCCCTCATTTAAAATGCAAATCAATTTATAACATTTTTGACATGCGTTTTTCTGGATTTTTTTGTTGTTATTCTGTCTCTCACTGTTCAAATAAACCTACCATTAAAATTATAGACTGATCATGTCTTTGTCAGCGGGCAAACGTATAAAATCAGCAGGGGATCAAATACTTTTTTCCCCTCACTGTATAGGTTAATATGGGCCCGTAAACTGTTTATATCTTAATTGATTCGAGGCAGTATCAAGTTTGTGCAATGTCAGCACTGTGTGGACAAAGTCAGTAGGCCTACGCCTAATAGCTGGAGGGTGTCAACCTCATAAGGAAAGAAGACGTCGCTGTGTAATGATGGATACTTGGATTTCTAAAAAAAAAATTACAATAATAATAGCCATGTTGTAAAACCACAACATAAATCCATTCTGTACTCCTAAACCATTCCTTTATGATATTCATAACTAGCAGGTTCACCACCATACTCCTGGCAATAACTACTGAATGTTTAAGATCACCAATTGCTTTAATGAATTGCATGCATGATGGATTAAACAAAGGCCTGATTTTATGGGGATGAATAAACAGACTAACATGGACATTGATACAAACCAGACTGACAAGAATGATTGCCAGTAACCAACCAAAACAAGTCAATTATTTGCATTGCAAGATAGGTCTACAAGATAGGATAGTTGATCCCATGTTATCAGTCTCTGCCTTCAAAGTTCAAACCTTGCAAATCTGTCAAACCTCAGCGTGCATACACACATTAGGTGCTGTCAAAGTAGCTATTAAAAATATGGCATAGTCAGACTGTTACTGTTCCAGCTGGCTGATTGGCGTTATTAGGTAGGTAATGTTAAGCGTAGCACAGATAATTTGACCAACTTTTAATTGCTGATACTTCCTCAATTCCCAACTTGGAAGACAATGTGTCTTCTAAACCTCCATGTCTATTTGCAGGGGATTCGTTTGAATTTAGAAAATGCTCAGTTATCAAATTAAATAAATGTTTTGCTACATGAAGTAATCCGAAAATGTGTATGCCGCCATCTTGTCTATTTCAAATCTTCTCTCATTGATCAAGACAGGTGAGTATCATGACATGCAGCACTTTCTGTAATACCAACATGTTTCAAGCAGACCACCATAGTCCCTGTGCCCAAGAACACTAAGATAACCTGTCTAAATGACTACCGACCAATAGCACTCACGTCTGTAGCCATGAAGTGCTTTGAAAGGCTGGTCATGGCTCACATCAACAACATTATCCCAAAAACCCTAGACCCACTCGAATTTGCATACCACCCCAACAGATCCACAGATGATGCAATCTCTATTGCACTCCACACTGCCCTTTCCCACCTGGACAAGAGGAACACAGAAGTGAGAATGCTATTCATTGACTACAGCTCAACGTTCAACACCATAGTGCCCTCAAAGCTCATCACTAAGCTAAAGACCCTGGGACTAAACACCTCCCTCTGCAACTGGGTCCTGGACTTCCTGACGGGCCGCCCCCAGGTGGTAAGGGTAGGTAACAACATCTGCCACGCTGATCCTCAACACGGGGGCCCCTCAGGGGTGCGTGCTCAGTCCCCTCCTGTACTCCCTGTTCACTCATGACTGCATGGCCAGGCACGACTCCAACACCATCATTAAGTTTGCCAATGACACAACAGTGGTAGGCCTGATCACCGACTAGACAGCCTATTGGCAGGAGGTCAGAGACCTGGCCGTGTGGTGCCAGGATAACAACCTCTCCCTAAACATGATCAAGACAAAGGAGATGATTGTGGACTACAGGAAAAAAAAGAGGACTGAGCACACCCCCATTCTCATCGACGGGGCTGTAGTGGAACAGGTTGAGAGCTTCAAGTTCCTTGATGTCCACATCACCAACAAACTATCATGGTCCAAACACACCAAGACAGTCGTGAAGAGGGCACGACAAAAAGCCTATTCCCCCTCAGGAGACTGAAAAGATTTTGCATGGGTCCTCAAAAAGTTATACAGTTGCACCATCGAGAGCATCCTGACTGGTTGCATCACCGCCTGGTATGACAACTGCTCGGCCTCCGACCACAAGGCACTACAGAGGGTAGTGCATACGGCCCAGTACATCACTGGGGCCAAGCTTCCTGCCATCCAGTACCTCTATACCAGGCGGTGTCAGAGGAAGGCCCTAAAAATTACAGAAGACTCCAGCCACCCTAGTCATAGACTGTTCTCTCTGCTACCGCACGGCAAGCGGTACCGGAGCGCCACGTCTAGGTCCAAAAGGCTTCTTAACAGCTTCTAGCCCCCAAAGCCATAAGACTCCTGAATAGCTAATTACATTTACATTTTTACATTTTAGTCATTTAGCAGACGCTCTTATCCAGAGCGACTTACAGGAGCAATTAGGGTTAAGTGCCTTGCTCAAGGGCACATTAACGTCATTTAGCAGACGCTCTTAGCCAGAGCGACTCACAAATTGGTGCGTTCACCCTATAGCCAGTGGGATAACCACTTTACAATTGGGGGGGGGGGGGGGGTAGAAGGATTCCTTTATCCTATCCCAGGTATTCCTTAAAGAGGTGGGGTTTCAAATGTCTCCGGAAGGTGGTGAGTGACTCCGCTGTCCTGGCGTCGTGAGGGAGCTTGTTCCACCATTGGGGTGCCAGAGCAGCGAACAGTTTTGACTGGGCTGAGCGGGAACTATGCTTCCGCAGAGGAAGGGGAGCCAGCAGGCCAGAGGTGGATGAGCGCAATGCCCTCGTTTGGGTGTAGGGACTGATCAGAGCCTGAAGGTACAGAGGTGCCGTTCCCCTCACTGCTCCATAGGCAAGCACCATGGTCTTGTAGCGGATGCGAGCTTCAACTGGAAGCCAGTGGAGTGTGCGGAGGAGGGGGGTGACGTGAGAGAACTTGGGAAGGTTGAACACCAGACGGGCTGCGGCATTCTGGATGAGTTGTAGGGGTTTAATGGCACAGGCAGGGAGGCCAGCCAACAGCGAGTTGCAGTAGTCCAGACGGGAGATGACAAGTGCCTGGATTAGGACCTGTGCCGCTTCCTGTGTAAGGCAGGGTCGTACTCTCCGAATGTTGTAGAGCATGAACCTGCAGGAGCGGGTCACCGCCTTGATGTTGGCGGAGAACGACAGGGTGTTGTCCAGGGTCACGCCTAGGCTCTTCGCACTCTGGGAGGAGGACACAGCGGAGTTGTCAACCGTGATGGCGAGATCATGGAACGGGCAGTCCTTCCCGGGAGGAAGAGCAGCTCCGTCTTGCCAGGGCTACCCGGACTATTTGCATTGCCCCCCCCACCCCCCTCTTTTACACTGCTGCTATTCTGTTTATTATTTATACATAGTCACTTTAACTCTACCCATATGTACATATTACCTCAATTACCTAGACTAACCGGTGCCCCCGCACATTGACTCTGTCCCGGTACCCCCTGTATATAGCCTCCCTACTGTTATTTTACTGCTGCTCTTTAATTATTTACTATTTTTAACTTAATTTTTTTTCTATTTTCTTAAAAACGGCATTGTTGGTTAAGGACTGTAAGTAAGCATTTCACTGTAATGTCTACACCTGTTGTATTCGGCGCATGTGGCAAATACAATTTTATTTATATGAACTGTAACTCTGTAAAATCTTTGAAATTGTTGAATGTTGCGTTTATATTTTTGTTTAGTGTATTATAAAGATCAGTCCTTTCGGGAGCCCAGATCATTTACTTATAAATCCCATAATTGGATGGTTCGGTAGTTGGGTTTCCCAAGCGACTACATATACCAGCATATTGTAAATATAGAAAAAAAAGATTTGCCTGGTAATGTGTATGTCTTAGCATTTTCTAAATTCAAACGAACCCTGCAACTAGACATGGAAGTTTAGAAGACATGTCTTCCAAGTCGGGAATTGAGGTAGTATCCCAGTTAAAGGTTGGTCGAAAATGCTCTGTGCTACACTTAACATTACCTACCTATAATAACGCCTACAAGCCAGCTGGAACAGTAAATATGGTCCAACTAGTCGATATTTTTTTTTATAGCTACTGTCAAATATGGGTAGGTACTTCGTAAACATGCAAACCCATTGCCTGACATACATGGAAAACAATTTAATGGGTAATTTGTCAAAATGGCTTGTGATCTAGCTATGGTGGATATAACTCCATTGCATTGTCAACATTGGAGTTAGCTAGCTGTATCCTCCTAGCTAGTGCGGTGTTCTGTCAGTGTCAAATACACACCAGTTTGACTGAGTGAGTCGAACTGTTCTAGCTAAGTATGTTCAGTTTTCATTGCAATTTGTAGATGGTAACTAGCTAGCTACCTAACTAGATAGTATCGATATCTAGCTTGATACTCTGAACCTTTTGATGTTGATGATGCTTGGCAATATGACTATGCATGAGCAGGTGCTTGCTAACTATAGAGCCTAGTTAGCTAGCCTAACATACCTAGTAAACGTAAACAAAGACAGTTCACTACACTAGCAGGCTAGATAGCTTAAAAAATTACAAATGTTTGCAAAATAACGCCCCAATCTATGATGGTTATCAGAATACATATATTTAGCATTAACTGCGAAGGCAGTCAATCGGCCACTTTTGCTTGCCACTGCCAGCTGGCTAAAAACAACTTGTCATAAAAACGTGCTAACGTTATACTGGCTAACTAGCCAAGCTGCATACAGTAATTAATCAACAAAACAAGGCACTTACCCGTGCAGCTCTAGTAATGTTTAGGTCTTTCATCACTTCTTCGAAAGCCGCAGTCTCCTCCGCCTGTTTCTGATTATGTAAAGCGATTTTCTCGCTAAATTTACGTGGATTGTTTGAGCTCGCCATCTTTTGCTCTTCTTCTCAATGGGACATTACGCACAGCGCTTGGATACGATGGTTTGTCGTCAGTACGCGCGTACTCTAAATGACGCGTAAGTGATGCTATGAAATAAAAAAAATACACATGTAAATGTCTAGCTAGCTACATAACATATCGCATACCATTTTCTATTTCCTGGAATTGTAATGATGAGTATTATCACATAATTAAATCAGGACTTACCATGTGTATTTGATTTGTATTTTGTGCTCTGTGGGCTTTCACACCAAATTGGTTTGGAGTGGTTTTTCCGAACTCTGGCGCGTTTTCCCACTTAGTTCGGTTCGGTTGGACTGGTGTGAACACTATCCTAGGGAGCACACTCAAGAGCGCACCGTGGTTCGCTCAAAAAGGGTGGTCTCGGTCAGATTCCGTTCGTACCGTGGTGTGGTTCGCTGCAGGTGAGAACGCAGTCCGGACCAAAAACAGGAACATTACCAGAGGCATGCAGTATTGGTTGTTTGAGTGCAAGCATTTGATGACATGCACACAGTCAGTACCATAACTTGATATCTGTTGAACATTCTGTGAGTAGCAGCGAATTTATGAGCACATGGTTGTAGATTAGGGGAGACAGGGCTATACCGGGATAGGCAATATGAAACCACTTGGACCAAATGAAGAAAATACAGTGTAACAAATAATCGAACTCTGATTCGAACTATAGCTCAGAACTATGTGTGAAAACGCACTAAAATATGTCAAAGGACAGTTATGTTTAAAGGGATAGTTCACTTAAAAACTATATTTTAGTATATTGTTCATTAGACCACTGTTCATTAGTACAATCCTAAAGAAACATGTAATGTCAGCAGTCAAGTTTAAGAAGATAGAGCACTTTCAGTAAGAAAAAACTGTGATGACGATGATAATGATGATGATGCATTGCATCATATGACAATTTATAGGAGTGGTTAGGTTGATAAAAGAAACAAACTTTTTAAAGAAGTTTTATTAAAAGCCACTCAATATCTGAACAACACAATGAACTGGGTGAACAAGGTATCACCAGAAGGGGACATCTACCTGGAGCAGCACAAGTGCCTTACAGACCCCACACATACACACACCTGTTCTGTCAAAACCATGGATGGCAAATTCACAGACACACAACAAGATTACAAATTCGCCACAGTATCCTTTGAAGTAGATTACATAAAGTATAAAGGACACATGGCAGATGTGTGCACGCTTCTTTTTTGAATATTTACTAATCATAAATTTTTTTGTACAAATCAAGATATTGCTCTACCAAAGTTGAAATACCAGTAATGGATAAATCAAATCCTTGTAATTGTATTAGGGTCATGATGTACAGAGAAACACTGAAATAGCCTATACCAAATTGATCAGTTATCCAGATACAGTAGGCCTATAATTGACTGACAGGAAAGTCAATATTGGGATTCATGTCTTTGTGACATTTACAATGATGATGGAGTTTAAATGCACAGTATTTAGATAAATACAGGGTATGGTCAAGTATAAAAAGGCAAAAATAGAACCTCATACAATCCATACATTCATTATGAATCATCTCATAAGCGCATGTTGTCCTCTGACACACTTTTAAAACATGAAGCTCTGGTGGAGTAAGGTTGTTTCTCAACACCTTATTCAATATAATTTACAGTAAAAAACACTTACACAAATTACAAACAAAAGGATTAGTATGCTGATTACTGATCAGAAAAAGAATGTGTACAATCTACATTTCACATCTGTATTACAGTACTGTATAAGAAAGAGGAAGAGCTCATAAGATTAAACACATTCTGGTGTGGCCTTGTATTTCACAGTTTCAATGACGGGTCAAGTAGAATTTTCTACGATTGGGAATAAGGTTTTACTTGTCTTCAACTTACATTCATCTGCCATCCCATGAACATTTAGTTCTCCTTTGAAAAATTATACATTTCGCCATTGAGGCTACTACACCTGAATGCTGTTTTCAGTTCACATAACACCTTTAATTTAAGCTGGAATCCATAGCAGTGAAATTGCCACATCCGTTTACGATATCACAACAACATACATTACTTCAAACAACAGACACTGATTTTTTCCCGTTGGACATCATTGTACATGTGATAAAATGGTAGAGTATGTACTCAGATATTTTTTTTTGCCACGATGCTGGATGCTCATTTCCTCAAATCAATAACAAATGCACCTGGGGCGGCCAGTGGCACTGCTTCGCCTATCGCGGATCTCAGCTTTAAGGTTATACAGGGTTGTTTCTGGTTAAAAAGGGGCTTAGGTGGTGTAGAGGCCCCCATCTTGGCAGTGTAGAGACATTTTTGCATTTTAAAGCTAATTCCCTGCGATGCTACATATTCTGCCATGGAGCTGAGCGACAATTTTGGAGTTTTACAGCACATTTCCTGCAATTCTATGCATTTATGCCATGGCTAATGCTGTGTTCTTTTGCTCAAACATATTAATAAAATCAATACGGCTAGATTAATTGTTTTTAGAATTTCCAATTATCCCTGACTGTCTAGCTTTTATTTTGGTGATTGTTAGTTTTCAAAGATTATATTATTGAAAAATATATAGGTCCATTATCTTTCTACATACCTTATCTGGTTGTAATCGTTTACGTTTACACTGAAAGCATTTTTTCCATTCCGAAAATGAACCCCGTTTTTAAACCTAGCCATCCCGAAAAAAACACTTAGGCGGCCCACCAAAGGATTTCAATGGCATAAAAAGTCTACTTTCTCCTTTGATAACAGTTGACTCCACTTATAATGCACTTAAAAGCTAACTGTGTGCTTTTGAGTTGGACATACAGTTGAAGACGGAAGTTTACATACGCCTTAGCCAAATACATTTAAACTCAGTTTTTCACAATTCTTGACATTTAATCCTAGTAAAAATTCCCTGTCTTAGGTCAGTTAGGATCACCACTTTATTTTAAGAATGTGAAATGTCGGAATAATAGTAGAGAGAATGATTTATTTAAGCTTTTCTTTCTGCCCACACATTTTCTATAGGATTGAGGTAAGGGCTTTGTGATGGCGCTCCAATACCTTGACTTTGTTGTCCTTAAGCCATTTTGCCACAACTTTGGAAGTATGCTTGGGGTCATTGTCCATTTGGAAGACCCATTTGAGACCAAGCTTTAACTTCCTGACTGATGTCTTGAGATGTTGCTTCAATATATCCACATAATTTTCCTTCCTCATGATGCCATCTATTTTGTGAAGTGCACCAGTCCCTCCTGCAGCAAAGCACCCCCACAGCATGATGCTGCCACCCCCGTGCTTCACGGTTGGGATGGTGTTCTTCGGCTTGCAAGCCGCCCCCTTTTTCCTCCAAACATAACGATGGTCATTATGGCCAAACAGTTCTATTTTTGTTTCATAAGACCAGAGGACATTTCTCCAAAAGGTACGATCTTTGTCCCCATGTGCAGTTGCAAACCTTAGTCTGGCTTTTCTATGGCGGTTTTGAAGTAGTGGCTTCTTCCTTGCTGAGCGGCCTTTCAGGTTATGTCGATATAGGACTTGTTTTACAGAGGATATAGATACTTTTGTACCTGTTTCCTCCAGCACCTTCACAAGGTCCTTTGCTGTTGTTCTGGGATTGATTTGCACTTTTCGCACCAAAGTACGTTCATCTCTAGGAGACAGAACGCGTCTCATTCCTGAGCGGTATGACGGCTGCGTGGTCCCATGGTGTTTATACTTGCGTTCTATTGTTTGTACAGATGAACGTGGTACCTTCAGGTGTTTGGAAATTGCTCCCAAGGATGAACCAGACTTGTGGAGGTCTACAATGATGTCAATTAGCCTATCAGAAGCTTCTAAAGCTGAGGTCTTGGCTGATTTCATTTGATTTTCCAATGATGTCAAGCAAAGAGGCACTGAGTTTGAAGCTAGGCCTTGAAATACATCCACAGGTACTTTTCCAATTGACTCAAATTATGTCAATTAGCCTATCAGAAGCTTCTAAAGCCATGACATAATTTTCTGGAATTTCCCAAGCTGTTTAAAGGCACAGTCATCTTACTGTATGTAAACTTCTGACCCACTGGAATTGTGATACAGTGAATTATAAGTGAAATAATCTGTCTGTAAACAATTGTTAGAAAAATTACTTGTGTCATGCACAAAGTAGATGTCCTAACTGACTTGCCAAAACTATAGTTTGTTAACAAGAAATTTGTGGAGTGGTTGAAAAACAAGTTTTAATGACTCCAACCTAAGAGTATGTAAACTTCAGACTTCAACTGTACAAAACATTAGAAAAACACTGTTAGAGGCAAACAGGTGACATTTTCAAAACCAAAACATACTTCAATGAGGGCCATGTTGTGCTTCCAAATAAGATTCTGCATTATAAGCTTGTCTCACCACTGTCAACATAGTCTACAAGGAGTAAAAGCCATTAACAATCAGTTGTGCATACAATACTGAGTCTCACAAATAGACTACTCCTCATAAAACTAACATTTAACCATATGCACTGTACTAAAGGAAGAAGTACACGGGACAAGAATCACATATCCTCACTGCTTGTGTGCTGTGCTTGTTCTTTCCATAAGGAGGTCCCCCTTACATGAATTTCAGCCCCTTGCCTTTAGCTCTTTGGGCTTCACAGTTCTGGCAGGACTGTATAGGTGAAAGCAGTAGGCCTATGTCTATTTGAAGGCTAGGTGAAGGCATCACCCTATTTCTCACACCTATGCAGTCCTATTGTGTAGGAGTTATGAGAATGGGGTGACACAAATGTAACTTGGCCTTCGACTCTGACCACTTGACCAGTACCCTCCCACCCCCACTTGTTCATCACAACTAAACACTGCAAGAGTTGGACGAGACAAAATCACTTCATTCTGATCTACAGTATTGATTATACATAGTATAACATTTGAGAGAAAATGCAGGAAGCCTACAGAATTCCTACATAAGGAGCACTAACAA